TTTACCTTATGCCTGGGTTGCAAGAAATTCAGCCTAGGATAATCCAAGATGACACTTATGATTCTAGGCACATAAGTCGTAAGCCAAATCTATGTTTGTTTGATGAAAACGAGAGCTTAAGGGTGTGTTTAGTTGCGGAAAAATTTGCCGTTTTCCGGAAAAATTTTCCAAGAAAAATGAGAATTTTGAAAATGCGTTTAGTTCGTCTATTTTTCTAAATTTTTCACGGAAAATGAAAATTTCTGTTTTCTAAAATTACAAAGAAGTTGGAAATTTTTGGAAAACAGATAATCATTGTTTTCCACATTTTTCTAATTCCAAAATTTTTCTAAAATATAAACACACACCCACTCCCACCCCATCCACCTCTACCCACCCACACATACACACATACATACATACCCACCCCCACACACACCCACCCGCACATACACACACACACACCAACCCACAAACACACACACACGCATACATACCCACCCACACACACACACACCCACCCGCACACACACACACACACCAACCCACAAACACACACACACACATACATACCCACCCACCCACACACACCCACCTACAAACACACACACACACATACATACCCACCCACACACACACCCACCCACAAACACACACACACATACATACCCACCAACGCACCCACACACACACACAAACACACTCACACACATACCCACCCACACCCCCACAAACACACACCCACACACACAAACCCACACCTACCCCCACCCCACTCTCACAAACACACACCCACACACACACAAACCCACACCTACCCCCACAAACACACACATACACACACAAACACACACTCGCACCCCCACCCACAACACCACACTACAATCACCGACCTACCATCACCATCACCACCACCACCACCACTAACCTGTCACTAGCACCACCACCACCGCTGCCGCCGCCATCACCACCACTGACACAATTGTCGCCGCCATCACCACCACTGACACAATTGCCGCCGCCACCACTATCGCCTGTCATCACCACCACCGTCGCCGACCCGCTACCGTCACCGCCCCCACCCACACCCTACCACAGCTACCGTTTTTTAAAAATAAAAACCGATAGAAAAATACACATCTAAACACGTTTTCTAATTTTCTAAAACTGAAAATGAAAAATGAATAAGTTTCACTAAACGCGTTTTCTAAATTTTTCAATGAAAAATGAAAACGGAAAACGAAAATCGAAAAGGGAAAACAAAAAAAGGAAAATGAAAATTGTTTTTCCGTAACTAAACGCAACCTAAGAATTTCGTGTATCTCTTCTCAAAGAGAAAAGTCGTATATATAATAAACGAGATTAGGGTTTTTATTAGGGTTGGCCGTCATGGGTTGCTTCAGAAGTAAGTCAAGGAAATCTGGATTTTAATGATGATTTAGGGTTTCGAAAACTGACGAATTTCGTCAATTTTACCATAATCACCCTCAAGAATTCACTTTTCCCACTATATTCCCATATGTATTTTTCGAAGAGTTTTTGGGGCGCTGACCTGGCAGCGGGATCCCAGCCAAGGGCTCTGCCCCTTGGACCCCGCTAGGGGCGCTGCCCCTAGACTCCGCCAAAGGGGCGCCGCCCCTTTGGAAACCCCGGACCCAGGGGCACTGCCCCATACCCCCCGACTTGTTGTCGAACCGGCTTCTAGTTCGGTCTCATACATGCGTGCACTCCGCACAAACCCGTACATATATTAGAGTACAAATTATGAATCCTCTAAGCTCACATGTTAGTTCTAGTTACATAAAATTACATGGTGACACTAAAATCACCAACATTTTTTTGTTGCACTCATTTGACAACCCGGAGCTCAAAGGATAATTAAGGGTATCATCAACATCTAAAAGTTAAAAAAAATAGTGATTCAAGAAAACCATTGAAGGTGAAGGTTAATACAAATTGCAAAATCTTGACTATATGAAAGATGAAATATATATCTGGAGAGGGAAAATCGAGGTTTACCAAAGACAATGCATTAGTATTCTATTTTAAATGACTGTGTATAACCAACATAAACATATAATTGTTAAAGACAAAATTGCAATAATGGTCCCTGTGGTATGTCAAAACTAGCAACTTTGGTCCAAAATGGGTTTGTCTCGCAAGGATGGTCCAATAGTTTCGTTTTGTTGCGAGTTTAGTCCAAAAAATTTAAAACTTTTTATAATGACGGATTTGCTCTTGGTATTTTCCCTTTTTCAATTTTTTTTATTACAGAAATCAAAAAAAAGAAAATCTCTCTCTCTCTCTCTCTCTCTAATACAATCTCTTCATCTCGTTAGTATCTCATCAGAAAAAAAACTCCCTCGTCCTTCTTCACTTACGATCAAGAACACCCCACTGCCCTCATGATTTTCGGCTATGACTGCCTATCGCCGTTGTTAATCCACCCTTTTCTCCATCGCCGGAAAAGGGCAACACCTCCCTTCGTTTTGCAACAGCCCAACCACCCACCATAGCCGATGCCGTCAGAATCCTTCCTCGACCTCCCTTTCATCTCCAACTCGTCTATCTCCCTCGTTTCTCACTTCTCCGGCGAAGAGAGCCACCACAGTCAACTGTGGCAGCTCCTCCGCCTCCCCCTGTCGTGACCCACCACCATCCAACATCCCAAATCCAAATCCACAATGGGTGTTCTTCGTTCTTGATTTTGGATCTGAAATAAAACCCAAATCCAAAAGTTGAAGGTAGGTATGTTCTTGGTTCCAAATTTGAAACGTAGATGAAGGGTAGATCTGAAACAAAATCCACACACAAAACCTTACCTGAAACGAAAACCCACCATCGATTCGAACGAAAGGCAGATCGACAGGAGCTCCGGTGAGGCTGGGTAATCGCGATGAGGTGCAAGGGGGTCCGTCGAGACCGACAACCCTCTGTGGGTTTACTCTTCGTCTTCACTGTCGGGCGACTGTTACAACGAGGGGGCTGCTCCGGTGGCCTCCTTGGCTATTCTTCTTCTTGCCTTTTGTTCTAAAAACAATGTTGAATCAAGACTTGTTCAATCAAATTCCAAAAAGAGATATTGTTCCAAATGTTAAGTCTTACAAGATTAAGATGTATGGATTGTGTAGAAAGAGTTCGATGTGGGATGTTTTTGGAAAACATCATGAACAGAACAGGGGATAGAGAAAAACGATAAACATGTGGTGATGGGCTTTTGTTTGATTCTATATCTGCAAGTCTGAAGCAAGAAGAAAACTATCGGTTTGTAGGTTTGAATCAAGAAGAAAATTGATTGTGTTTGATTTGGTGGTGTGAAAGTGATAGAGACAGAGATGGTGTTCAAGAAGAAAGCACCTTCTATTTGCAGGTGAAGGTGATGGAGATGTGTTCGACTGCTGTGTGAGAGAGAGAGAGAGAGAGAGAGAGAGAGAGAGAGAGAGAGAGAGAGAGAGAGAGAGAGAGAGATTTTATTTTTGTTTTATTTTTAATTGTTGTAATAAAAGAAAAATGGAAAATAAAATAATAAGGGCAAATCCGTCATTATAAAAAAGTTCATAGGAAATTGGACTAAACTCGCAACAAAACGAAACTATTGGACCATCCTTGCGAGCCAAACCCATTTTGGACCAAAGTTGCTAGTTTTGACATACCACAGGGACCATTCTTGCAATTTTGTCATTGTTAAATTTTAATGGGAGTCCCAACTCTAGAAAGTATAGTTTATTTATGGGAAAATAAACAAAAAAAATCCTTCAATAGCATAGTCTCATTTCAACATATATATGAATTGAGGAATGATGATTTCATAATATTGGATTTTAAAGAAATATGAAGAACAACGATCAACAATTTTCAGAATAACAGATATGAGTCACATATTTAAACCAAGTCATGGGAATTAAAAAGAGGAAAAAAATCAGAACCAAAACTTATGAATATTTTATAAAACTCAAAATTAAAACTTGAAACCAACATTTGCTGATCACCACATAGCATTGTACTTTTGAAAATTTCTTATTATGACATTATACTTAGAAGAATCTATAGCAATGAAAATTGGTTTGTATTTGGATGACCTTGCTATAACTTAACTAGGTAGTGTTTTCAAAGTACAATTTGTAATAGGAAGAAATCAAAGTAGAATGCTATAATAAACAAATCAGTGGATGTACATTACAATCTTTATATTGATTTGAGAATCGGGGTCAAGATCATATTGAGGCATTGCACTTAATAAATACTTTCCTGTTATGATATTGTAATTTGAAACTATACACTGTATATTAGGACATTATACTTTTAAAATCTACCCAATTATAGCAATGAAAATTGCTTTCTATTTGGATAACACTGCTATATTTAGGTAGATTTTCAAAGTACAATACCGAAATAGACAGAACTCGACGTATGATGCTTTAAGAAACAAATCAATGATAGTACATTATTGTTTCTTGCATTTAACCCTAATGTCTTTCAAATTGTCACCGATCCCACAATATTAGTAAAACTTTTTACCTACGATAAATAAATTCTGGTTTGGTATAAATCTTTTAACCTGGATATGAGCCCATGATGCATTTTTGTTGATCATGTTTGTGTGCAATATATTGGAGCACATTCTCTCGTGTGCTCATGTTGTTTATTGGGGACCTAAGAGTTTTTTGCCAATCCATCATATAAAATGTTCACAGTTTTGATTGTCGCGAATGAAGGACCTCCATAACTTAAGGGCTGTTTCTTTTTCTTTTTTATTTCCTTATCAAATCAAGTATGGATTAAGTGGCTGAATAAGATTGTATATATAAGGATTGTTTCTTTTCTGGATTGAATAAACTAAACCATCTAAATGAGATACCATTTACCCTTATATTTTTTAAAATAAATTTCACAATATCCATCAATTTTAACAATATTTATCCAGATTAAGTAAAAAACAAACAGCCATATAGCAAGTAGAAGGTAGTACATTGCGACTTTTTTGCATTTACATAAAAAATACAATATGATCATATATGTATGGGCAATATGCCGTTAGAAATTAACAGAAGAAATCCCAAAAGTGATCGACTCTTGATAAAACGAAAAAATTTGTATTCAAAACCGAAAACTCGGTAACTCAGCTGGCCTATTTCGTGGACTCTTCGATTGTTCCCTTTTCAGGTGATTTCTTCTTATCTTCTTCATCACCATTTTTGCTTTTTTCATCTTCTATGGATGTTTTCATGGATTCTTTGACTTCTTCTCCTTTTGGTGACCTTGCTTTCTCTTCTTCCTTAGTATCCGATGGTTTTCCTAATAACTCTTTAGTCTCTTCTTCTCTTATGGGCACTTTCGATTCACCATTTTCAATTGGTGGAGAATTCGAATTCGAGTCTTGTTTATCTTTCCTTTCCTCCGGTGATTCCACAGGCTTTGGCGGTGGTTCTTGGTGCACTTCTTTCACGGCAGGGTTTTCCGGCGGTGGTACCGGGCGGTCTTCCTTTGACTCATCTTTGACCACCGGCGGCTCGGTTTTTACCGAGTCATCTTTCACAATCGATGGCTCGGTTTTTGCCGAGTCATCTTTCACGATCAATGGCTCGGTTTTTGCCGAGTCATCTTTCACGATCAATGGCTCGGTTTTTGCTGAGTCATCTTTCACAATCAATGGCTCGGTTTCCTTGGGTGGATCGATTTTATTGATGTCATCATGTTTAGGTAAGTCAGGTGATGAGTTGGCTTTCGATTCCAATGGTCCAAGCTTTGCTTCAGCATCCTTGATCAAAAATGTTAAAGCCCTCGCGTCACGTGCTCTTGCCAACTTTTCAGTATTTGTCAGCTGAAACAATGTGAAAAGTAACATTTTTTTTTTTCATCTTATATTGTAAAATTTATTAAAAAGGAAAAAGATAAAAAGATAAAAACTCACACTTCGGATTTGTTCTACCCGATGTTTAAGATCATTTTCATTTGCTTCCTTATGAGCAGTTCGGATAATAAGCAACAAATGTCCAGAAAGATCATCCGTATTATGTTTTTGCACATCGCATTTTGGTATACAAGACTTACACCCAACAGTATAAAACGCACAATTCACAAGCTTCATAGGACAAATCGTCACACAATGTCTATCCATTTCTCTCCTCATAACAAAATCCGGACATTTTTGTTCACAAGCAAGTATCATAAATGGACAAATCGCCTCATGATTTTCCTTTTGAGCAGCACAGTATCTTGTCGTACACCCTTCATTCACACAATCCATACCTCGAAACTTACACTCCAATCGATGTTTACAAATTTCTTCTTCAGACCCACAAGCCACATTACAATGAAACGAATTCTTGTAGTCGACATTTTTAAGGAGAATTGAAGCAATGCATTCTCTTCGAGCGAGTAACCAGAAGCCATTAATCTCCATTTCTTGAACAAAGTCATCGATTCTGTCTTCTCTTCCATCGCTGGAAACCCACTCGGAGACACGACTAAACATGTTTCGTTTTGAAGCGGCGAAATCGTCGATTAGGGTTATGATTATGTCGTATGGGTGTTCGGATGTTTCTAGTACAGGGGTATTTTCGGAAAGTAGGAATTCGGCTACGTAAGTTTCGCTTCGTTGTGTGAGGTAATCGGACATTTCTTTTCTCATGTCGACGGCGACTGTTCCTGCGTTCTTGAAAAGGCCGCCGGTTGTGTTGTCGACGCAGGCGGAGGCTAATCCGGGGAGAAGTTCTTGAGCGATTTTGTAGACGACTTCTGTGTCGCATAGTCCACAATCGTAGGATTTGGGATTATTGGGTTTTGATTCATCGGGTTTGGATTCGGGTTTGGATTCTACTGATACTGTTGCAGGTGGGTCCATGATCGGTTATGGTTATCCTGATGATATAAATTATGTTATTGAAGGTTCTAAACCATTAAGGGTACAAATATAACATATACAAGTGCACAAATTGAAAATATAAGAAATAGATTATGTTATAGTTCATTCATCAGAGACTTGAATAGTAAAAAATGGACTATATTTTGTTGGGTACTATAGAAATCAGATGATAACTGACATCAATGTGTTTGAAGATTTTACTTTGAAAATCAACCCATGATAGCATTCTACTTTCAAGAAAAGAGCAACAATTTCTATAGCAAAATTATATAAATTAGCATCCAAACATAAGAGGCTAACAAGAAGCATTAACAATGGCAACTTTACCTTCCATGATCGCATTGATAGCATTGAAGTGAAATTCCCAAAACAAAATTGAAGTGAAATTGTACAACTTGCAATTTTTATATTTTCTGTTATATTATTAAAGATCAAAACCACAGCCATAAGCCATAAGCTCTCATATTCCCCATCAAAATTTCAACCAAATGGATGATCACAACACCAATTCCCTCTAAAACCATAAATATTCCCTTTACAGCATTTTCTTTTGAGATCATTGATAAGATCATATAACACTAATGGAAAAAGTAAATTAAATTGCATTTTCCAGCAAGTAGGCTAATCGATAAAAAGAATGAAGACAAATAGAGGTTCAAGGGCATACAGGTCCAACTTCAATATATTTTGTCAATACCGATACTATATAGAATCGAAACTAAAATCAACCCAGACGAGAAAACAAAACAAAATCCATAATTAGGAGTTGAATTTCATCCAAATCAAAATCAAAATTAAAATCGCTAATCGAATCAAACGGATTTAAAGCCTTACCTGAAATGTGGGTTTGCTTCTATTTTCTCCTGGAAACCCCTTTATATAGGATAGAGAAAGAAATGGGGTGTTCTTGTAGTTTGTGCAGATGCGATGGAAGGGGAGATAGTGAGGGATCGATGGAAGATGGTTGTCGGAGGGAGCAGCGCCCGGAAGCAGGTTGTCGGAGGAATCGCAGCAATGGAAGATCGTTGTCGGAGGAAGATGGTTTGACGAAGGAGATGGCACCTGATGATCGATCGAGGAGGTGTTGATATGACCCTAATTTTAAACCCACCGATAAAAAAAATAAAAAATTAAACTCTTGAACATCATCGGTTTCTTTCGCTTCAATTTATATTTTATCCGTATTAAGACTTTCTATTTTGTTTTTTCTTTAAATTTAAGAAGTTTAGATTTTCAATTAGTAGATATTTTCAGTCTAATTCGTTCAAAATTTTCGTGTAAAACTAAATATATTTTTTGTTAAAAAAATATTCATATATCATAATAAAAGCATTTCAATGGTTAATCATGACTTAAAATAATCGACAACTCATCATTCAATACAAATTAAGATCTAATAAATACAAATTAAGATCTAATAAAACGATCTCACCAATGGTAAACTCTTTCAATAATTTTTTTTCTTAAATTTAACTAAATTATCCGTATTTGTCTAAAGTATCTTATAAACAACCTTCTACTTTAACTAATCATTTTTAAACATACATCATACTTAAAATTTCACGACAAATGAAAATATTTATATAATCTTATGAAATTTATATTTCATAAATAAAATATCATTAAATACTTTGATAACAATAATTAATTAGTAAAGAAATATCAATAAATTAAAACTAAAAAATAGTTGTAGGGATGAAATGATATATATATATATATATATATATATATATATATATATATATATATATATATATATATATATATATATATATATATATAAAGAAAGTGGACTTAGATGTACAAAGTTTTAAATTAGATTAACCATTTAATATATATTGAATGGTCAATAAAAAAAAGGGAATATGACTTATTAAGATAATTAACTTTTCGGTTTGTTCACATCTGGGTAATTATCTTTTTTTGTACACATCTAGGTAACAAACTTGTTGGAAATGTTCACATATGACCATTATGACATGTCGTAGCAGGTTACATCCTGCTACAGCAAGTCATAATTGTCATATGTAAACACTTTTAACAAGTTCTTTACCGTACAAAAAAATAGTTAATAGTTATCCAAATATAAACAAAACCAAAAGTAAGAGTAAATTACACGAATGGTCCTTGTGGTTTGGGGGAATTTATGTTTTTGGTCCCTAACTTATTTTCTTAACTCGAATAGTCCCTACTGTTTATTTTTTTTGTGCGTTTGGTCATTGTCTTACCTAAAAAGACTATTGTGCCCTTATTAATTTATTTTTTAATTAATTTTCTTATTTATGTATTTATTTTTTATATATTTAAAAAAATTAATAGGCCCCATATATCTGTATCTCCTCACCGTAAACCTGAAACCACATTTGAGAAATTTAATATGGGTCTCACCGGTCACCATCTCATCTCTCATCGTCCTCAACTTCTATTTCCTTCCCATATTTAGTGATATCGACGTCTTCACCATCCTTTTTTTTGTCCTTCAACTCTGGCGAACCAACACCATAACCCATTGTCTCTTCATCTTTAGTGGGTTGTGGTGTTGATTCGACGGAGTTGAAGGACCGAAAAAAAAGATGGTGAAGACATCGATATCACTAAAGATGAAAAAGAAATAGAAGTTGAGGAGGATGAGAGATGGGATGGTGAGGAGATACAGATGTGTGGGATCTATTAACTTTTTTTAAATATATAAAGAATAAATACATAAATAAGAAAATTAATTTAAAAATAAATTAATAAGGGCACCATAGTCTTTTTAGGTAAGACAGGACCAAGCGTGCAACAAAAATAAACAGTAGGGGTCATCCGAGTTAAAAAAAACAAATTAAGGACCAAGCACACAAATTTCCCCAAACCACAGGGACCATTCATGTAATTTACTATTTACTTTTCGTTTTGTTCATATTGGGTAACTATTTTTTTGTACACATCTAGGTTACGAACTTGTTGAAAGTGTTCACATATGACTATTATGACCTGTTGTAGTCGGATGTTAACCTACTACAGCATGTCATAATGATCATATGTGAACACTTCCAACAAGTTTGTTACCTAGACGTGTACAAAAAAAGATAGTCACCCATATGTGAATAAACCGAAAAGTTAATTACCTTAATAAGTCATATTCCCTAAAAAGAACAAAAAAAACTATTTGCTCAAATGGTAATAAGTGCTCAAAATTAAATTAAAAAAAAACTAACTCGATATTTGATCTGATTAAAGGATGTGACTTGAATATCATCTATCATCCGCATTAGATTGCATTTTCGTTTTTTGAAGATAATGTTATTTATGGCTTTCCATAAAAACTACAACACTGAATAAGATAAGGCAATGAGTAAATTGCATTTCATCTTGTCCGCTCTCATGGAGTTAATCAACCACATTAGAGAAATGAAATTGTGAGGGATTGCCAATTGAACACCACCCATGAGAAGAACCATTTCCACACATTTGTAGCATAATCACAATTAAACAAAACATGATCTGTCTTTTCATCCTCTTTCTGACAGAATTAGCATGGAAAATAGTCAATAGTAACACCTCTAATAGCAAGGCTGCAAACTACTAAATTCTGTTTAGCATGAGCCGCCACACAAAACAATTGACCTTTGAAATCCAATAAATTATTTCATATGTATGAATATATGGATTTATTAGATATATAATTATATTTAAGTGGGATTTTGTTTGCAATAAGTAATCATTGTGGATTTCGGTATCTAGAATGGGCAATAAGGAATCCTGATGACAATAAATTCTTCGTTGATTCTTCATTGGGCGTAGGTATCATTACCAAAACTAATGTTTGGTTTGTGAACTTTAGACATTAATATATATATATATTTTTTTACTATTACCATTTATTATACATTTATATTGAAAAAGAGAAATTATGTATAAATCAAAAATTTCGATTATCTAAAAGATATATGTATAAACAGGGCTTTAAAGAAACTAAACGTTCAATGAACTGTTTGTAAATCATCCGGCCAAAAGTTTGTTTATGTTGGTTTATTTAATAAGTGAACGAACGCCAATATGGGACTAACCTGTTTGGTAGAGGTGGAAACCTCTTAGATTGGATGTCTCGGGTTCAAACCCGGACGTAGCGAATTAACTAACTTGATAAATATAACTTCTAACAACTAACTAGTCATTAACAAAAATGAACTACATGTTTTGTTCATTTAGTTAAACGAACGAACACGAATAATTGTCTTATTCGTTCAATTATGTTTCGTTATGTTCGTTTATAATATTATATTGGGAAAACCATAGAAAAACCCTATGTATTATACATGAGTGCTTAAAAAAATCCTTATATTAATTTTATGTACAATTTAACCATTATTATTTCTCACCTACCCTGTTTAATGCTTTATAACCGGTTGTCATTTACCAACCGGTAACATAAATGACGTGGTATCATTTACACAAGCAACTTCAAGTTAAAAAGATGTTTGTTGCTTCAAAAATCATCATGTTTGAAAATTAAAAATCTCCTCCTTCATCAATGGATCATCATCATCATTCACTCATCTTCAACAATCTCTCTTATTCTTTCTAATCCCTCCTCCCATTTCTTCTTCTTTCTTCTCTATAGCCATCATGCTGCCAAAACCAAAACCAAAACCCCTTTTATTCTTCTTTTTTCTTCCATTTGGGTTTTCTTTGATTGTTGATTATACTTGTGTTCCCGATTCTACTTACAGATGTCGCCGTTGATTGTTGTTCATGGGATGGAATTGATTGTGATGATACAGGGAATCGGGTGGTGGAGTTGTCGTTGCCTGATAGAGGTCTTCGTGGTGTAATCCCTTCTTCTCTTCAATCTCTCAACACTCTCTCCCTCCTAAACTTGTCGTGTAATTTCCTATGTGGTCCCCTCCTCGATGGACTTTTTTCCTCTATGAACAACCTCCACACCATTGACGTTAGCTACATTAGGTTTTCTGGACAGTTACCGGACATCTTGCCTCCGGACATCTTGCCTCCTACAATCCAATCGTTTAATTTCTCCGGTAATTGTTTCAATGACACGATTCAAGCTGCGTTTCTCCAGTCAACACCAAGCCTGATTGCTCTTAATGTCAACAACAATACCTTTACTGGCGTCATTCCTTCCTCTATAAGCGACAACTCAACATGATTAGTGATTCTCAATTCCTTGAGGGATACGACCGCTTAATTGGTTGTTCAAGAACAAGATTTCTTTCAATCCTGAACTAGAATACCCGAAGCTAATTGGAATGTCACTTGTCAACTTGTTATTGGCTAAATTGATTACCGAAGCAAGGGAATTGCCTAGACTTTGTGGGATTTGACCTTCGAAATTGTTGTTATTGAGTATAATTGCGTCAAGATTCTTGGTGAATACAAGGTCTGGAATGGGTCCTGAAAAAAATTGAATCTAAGGTCTAGATACATGAGATTTGGGATTTGGAGAATTATGATAGGGAAAGGTAAGGAGAAATTGGTTATTGTTGAGGTCAAGTTCAGTAAGGGCAAAAAGGTCTTTCAAGCTATCTGGGATTGTGCCTGTGAAACTATTGTTGTTGAGGTGGAGGAGAGTCATGTCTTTGAGGAGGGAAAGTTCTTTTACGAGAATACCCGCGAAACCACCATGGTTAAGGTCTATCCATGTAACTGATGAATCTTGACAGAAAACCCCTTTGTAGTCACACACATTTGTGGGAGGCCGAGGAGGAAATGAGGGAGCATTATCCAGAGTTGTTTATAGATTTAGTAGCAACGGACTTCGAGGACGAAGTCTAAGATAAGTGGGGGAGAGTTGTAACGCCCCATTTCTGGTATGTGATTTAAATAAAGTAATTTTCATTTTCTTAAGGGATACTCGACGAGTCTGTAGCCCAACTCGTCGAGTAGAGACGGGATGATCACGCATTTTAAGTTGGCTACTCGGCGAGTCCATATGAAGGGACTCGGCGAGTCTGCCTGTCTGGATGAAGCCCTAATTTCAAGGGTTTGTACCCTATATAAACGTCATTATAGCCTCCCATCCCAGCCTCCAACACCTTTAGAGCATTTCCCATGTAAACCCTAGCCCCCATTGTTGAGCTTGAGTGTGTTTGTGCTAGTTTGGAGGTTTTGGAAGAGAAAGAAAGAAGGAAGGATCCAAAGGAGAAGAAGAAGATCCAGAGTCTCTTGATCATCAGCCTCACATTCTGGTACTAAAGCTTGTACCTTGCTTGTTATTTCCATTTGATAGTCTTGTATGCTTAGTTGTGCTTCTTTTTGGGACTTTTTGGATCCAAACTCGAGATTGGGACTCCTATAAGGAAATGGATCTTAGATCTGAGTATATTTGAGCTGTAGGAGCTCAAAGTAGCTGCCTTTATGCACCCAAGGTCGAGTTCCAAACCCTAAGACCCCATTGTTAGCTTATTTTGATGTTCTAGCCTCATTTCTTCATGCATGCACGTAAAGTTGGAAACTTTACGTGTAAAACCAACCCTAAGAGCCTAGATCTATGATTTGGAAGCACTGAAATCGATTAGAATCGACTGTATAGTAATAGCATGCTTGGGACTCGGCGAGTTGTTCTTCAACTCGGCGAGTTGTTCTTCAGGCTCGACGAGTTGTTTTTGCGACTCGGCGAGTCGCAGCCTGGACATGTTCATATGATGAAGGAGAACTCGACGAGTTGTTCATACAACTCGGCGAGTCGGATGAAGTTAGACTCGATGTATGTATCGAAGAAGAACTCGTCGAGTCTTCGCCAAACTCGACGAGTAGAAGCGAGTAGAGGACTAGAACGGATGAAAGGGACTCGGCGAGTTGGCGGCCTAACTCGGCGAGTCCGGTCAACTGGAGATTTACTTTGACCAGGAAGTTGACTTTGACCGAGGGTAAAATAGTCATTTCACCCCCAGTTTAGTTATCAGTATTTGATTGAGTATATTTATGGGAATTGTAGCCGAGGAGATACCGGAGCAGCAGCAGACAGTTCCCGAGTAGCTTTTTCAGCATCCAGCTTACGAGGTGAGTTTCCTTCCAGTAGGAACGGGTCTACGGCCACAATGCCGTCCCGTTTAGTTAACAGTAGTTCCGGACTTCGGTCTGATGCAGTAGTCCAGTGTGCTTGATGTCTTTGTGATTCAAGCATGTCTTTGTGTTATGTGTTCCGGACTTCGGTCCGATGCAGATGGCAAGGCCCTGGTTAGTTCCGGACTTCGGTCTGATGCAGTTTCCGGACTTCGGTCTGATGCAGAGGGCAAGGCCCTGGTTAGTTCCAGACTTCGGTCCGATGCAGTTTCCGGACTTCGGTCCGATGCAGAGGGCAAGGCCCTGGTTAGTTCCGGACTTCGGTCCGATGCAGTTTCCGGACTTCGGTCTGATGCAGAGGGCAAGGCCCTGGTTAGTTCCGGACTTCGGTCTGATGCAGAGGGCAAGGCCCTGGTTAGTTCCGGACTTTGGTCCGATGCAGTTTCCGGACTTCGGTCCGATGCAGTGGGCAAGGCCCAGTAGTTGTTTTATATGTTATTGTATGGTATGTGGTAGATTGGGGGAACTCACTAAGCTTTGTGCTTACAGTTTCAGTTTTTGGTTTCAGGTACTTCCGCAAGTAAAGGGAAGAGCTCGGGATGATGGCATGGCACACACCACAGTTTTAGTTTTATCCTGGGAGTTTTATTCAGATATTTCGATATGATTGATACAGTATTTGTTTTGACACAGTTACTTGACTTTTGAGTTACTCACTCTATGGTTCTTAGTATGTATGACATTCGATGATGTGATTTTAGTAATATTAAAACAAAAATTTTTGGGTCGTATTTTGGGATGTTTCAAGTTGGTATCAGAGCCTTGGTTTGAGGGATTCAGGCACACTTTCGGGTATGACTGGACTCAAACTAAGGAAACGGTAAAAGATTTTTCAAAAGAAAAATGTTTTCGAAAGAAATTTTTGAAAAATAAACTTAAAAAGAAAAGAGTTTTGAGAAAAGGAAAAGGGTGTGGTGCATGCGATCGGCCGAGCTCAAGTAAGTACTCCCAAATTACCCATACAAGTTTATGTTATGATCATCAGTTTCAGTTTCAGTAGAACAGCATGCTAGAATAGGATTAAGGATCTAGGAGGATGCCTTATGTGTCTGCTATATGTGTTTCAGCTATATGAGAATTGCATGCTAGTATTGAGTAGACAGCAGTAGGATAGCCTGTTTAGGTTATGCTTGATAGTATGAGCTTAGCATTGTATGCTAGTACAGTTTCTTGTTATGAGGATAGAATTGCTTGAGTAGTCTCCTGTGTCTGAATGCTGATTGCTTCATGCTTTGTGGGACTCAGAGTGATGGGAATTAGCCATTAGGTGAATACGCCACGTCACATATGAACAGGGTTGAATAATCTCAGAGTGCTAGATTTGGCCCTATTGCGCAGCTCTTGTTTGAGTCTAACCGTTGTAGGAACGAGTCTTTTACTCGAAGGATTATCTGAGCCTCGCCACATGTGATGGTATTCAGGTAATGGCTAATTGGCATTACAAGGAGGCCTTCAGCAGCTGAGGACTGGATTGGGTGGAGTCAGAGATTTCCCTAAGGCAAGCCTAGGATGAGAGTAGCAGAGATCAGTAGCAGTAGAAGTGACTTGGTGGAGTCGAGGCAGTACTTGAGGAAAGTACGGATAGATGTGGAAGGTAGTATGGGCCCGTACTACTGAAAGCAGAGGATCCGTACTTGAACCAAGGAAAGCTGAGATGAGACCAAGAAACTGGTAGTAGTAGCGATCCCTCGAGATATATCAGTGTTTCTGACGTTTGTCATGATGTGTTTTCAGAATGGTGGTTTTACGCCCTAGACCAGCAGTCGGCAGTTTAGGTGCCGGAGAGGGATCAGGATCAGGCCCGGAGGCCGGGCAGTTGGACGAGCAGACTAGGGAGTTTCTCTCTTCAGAGATTACTCGCACTATACTTGAGCAGACTCCTGTGATCTTCGGTTCGATCAAGGAGGGTATTTTAGAGCTGATGGACGAGAGGTTGAGCACCTTCCGTGCTGAGGTGGCGACTATGATAGGGTCACGCACACTCACCTTCAGGGAGTTCCGGGCTTGTGGAGCTCCAGACTACCATGGGGCACGGGATCCCATTGCGAGTACTAGGTGGTTGGCGGATGTCGCCAATGCGTTCCGCACCAGCAGATGTCCCGAGGGGGACAAGGTCAGACTAGCATCCTGTCTTCTGAAGGACAGGGCACGAGATTGGTGGGAGGAGGTCGGGCATGTCATCGGGGATGACGCAGCGCTTGATGCCATGACTTGGGCTGATTTCACTACCAGGTTCAGAGCCGAGTTTGCACCGGTTATTGAGGTGCAGCAGTTAGCCAGGGAGTTCCAGGATCTCACCCAGACTACAGAGACAGTGGCGGAGATTACCGCCAAGTTTAGGGAGAGGGCTCTTCTTGTTCCTCAGTACGCAGCTGATGAGGAAATGAAGAAGGCCCGTTATCATGAGATGTTGCGGAGTGATATCCACCAGTTTGTGAGCCGGTCCAGCTGTAAAACGCTGGATGATATGATTGCGAGGGCTCGGGAGAGGGAGATAGATCTGGAGATGGAGAGGAAGAGGAAGCCAGAGGTGGCTTCTGGTACAGGGAGTTCGGGCAAAAAGCCCAAGGTGTCAGATCACATACCCAGGGGACAGCAGAGCCACAGTCGGTGTGGCAAGTGTGGGAGATTGCACGATGGGGCGTGCAAGGCAGGTAGTGCCGGTTGCTATAAGTGCGGCCGGACCGGGCATATGAGTAGAGATTGTACAGCTACTACTACCACCACCGCAGCAGCTGATCTGATTTGATTCCATTGCAATCAAAGGGGACATAAAAAGTCCCAGTGCCCGAGTTTAGCAGCAGCAGGGAAGGTGGCAGCACCTGCCCCTGCTACCTTGAGGATTACAGACGGCCGTCAGGGCCGGGGTGAGACCCCAGTGGCGAAGAGTAGAGCTTTCCAGATGACAGCAGAGGAGGCGCGAGCGACTCCTGATGTGGTGACATGTATATATTTTCCTTTTATCTCCTTATAAATATTGATCGTTTCTCATGGTTATATGTTTACATATAGGGTCGTTCTTAGTGAACGGCATTTCAGCTACAGTATTGTTTGACTCGGGGGCTACCCGATCATTTGTGTCTC